TTCCTCAAAAAATAGAACTACCATATGATTCAGCAATTTCACTTCTGGGTATTTGTCTAAAGGAAACAAAAACACTAACTTGAAAATATATCTGCACCCTTGTTTTCATTGGAGCATTATTCACAATCTCCAAGCCATGGAAACAACCTAAGAATCCATTGATGAATGAATGAATAAAGAAGAGGTGATGGGGAGAGGGTGATTAAGATAGTGGAGTAGGAAGAGCCTGAGTGCTTCTCACAGGCACATCAAAATTACAACTATTTACAGAGCAACTATTGATGAGAACAGGCTAGAGACTAGCAGAAAAGATCTCCCCCAACTAAAGATAGGAAGAAGAAACCAAAGTGAGATGGATAGAAGGGGCGGAGATGTGGTATAAGCAAGGCTCACACCCCTTGTAGGCAACCCACAAACGGGGATAATCACAATGCAGAGCTTCTCCCCAAGGAGTGAAGGGTCCAAGTCCCACAACAGGCTTCCCAGCCTGGGGGTTCTGCACTGGGAAAATGAGCCCCTAGAATGCATGGCTTTGAAGGCCAGTGGGGCTTGTGTTGAGAAGGGCTATAGGAAACAGACCTCATTCTTAAAGGGCATGTGCAAAATCTCACATGCTCTGAGACCCAGTTGCAGAGCTGTTATTTGAAAGGATCCTGGGTAAAACCCACTTGCTGATATTAGAGAGCCACCCAGAGAGAAGGCAACTGGAACTCCCCCTGGGGACAGGGACACTGATGGCAACCACTCCTGGGAGCTTGTTCTACCAGAACAGTGGTGCTGACAAGCACCATACTGGAATCCTCCTTGTAGCTTGTTAGCCCTGGAGACTCACCTACCCACCAGCTGGTCAACACCAGTCCTGGGACCTGACCTTACACAGCAGCAGGCCAGCAACAGTGCTGGACCTCCAGAGACATGCAGCCAGCCACCCCAGAACCTGGACATGCACATCAGTGGTCCAGGCCCAGGCCCAGAACCCCCCTGCCATTGACAGGGACGCAATAAGAATAGGAAACTTTAATACTCCATTTACATTAGTGAGCAGATCATTCAGACAAAATCAACAAGGAAACACGCCTTAAATGACACATATAGAACATTCCATCCCAAAGCAGCAGAAAACACATTCTTTTCAAGTACACATGGAACATTCTCTGGGACAGATCACACACTAAACCAGAAAACAAGTCTCAATAAATTTTTAAAAATTGAAAGCAGGCATTTTTCAAACCACAACACTATGAGCCTAGAAATCAGCTACAAGAAAAACACTGCAAAAAAGACAAATATGTGGAGGCTAAACAATATGCTAATAGACAATCAAATGGGTCACTGAAGAAATTAAAGAAGAAATCAAAAAATAACGAGACAAATAAAAATGAAAAAATCCAAAATCTATGGGATGTAGCAAAAGCAGTTTTAAGAGGGAGGTTAATGGCAGTATAAGCTTATCTCAGGGAACAAGAAAAATCTCAAACAACCTAAACTTACATCTAAAGGAT